TATATATATATATATATATAATCCATTTAATCTTATATTATTTTTGGGGGGCGATGGGAATGTAATCTGACAAAGCCAGGCTGTTCACGTGCTATTCATTCGACGCGTTCCAAATTAACCAAATGAATGACTGTTTGCAAGGAATTAACAATAATATTTAATTTTAATTTATTTAAAAAAAAAGGTACAATAATATAAAATGATTTTTATAATTTTTTTTAGAAGTATAAATTTATTCAATTTTTATTTAGAGAAAATTCCATATATATTAACACATTCTCTGGGCAGCGCTTTCCTCCTGGGTACTACGTGGGCGACGCTAGTGGATCTGGCGTGCTCTTGGCTGAAGTACCTGTAACAACACAATTTAGCTCATCATACATCTCAACACTAAATTAATTGGCCTTTGTCAATTTTTATTTATATATTTTAAGCTTTTACTGTGTTATATATATATATGATGATATTTATATATGTTACTGGTACAACAAATTAGATTTACGTTATATTATCATTGATACTTAATGATAATATTGACAACACCCTTTTGTCTAATAATATTTATTAGTCTCATTTCGTCATTCATATTTCATGTCTCACCATCTTATTATTAATAGTTGTTATTTATTATGTTTAAATTGTCAAACTTGTTGTGATCTACGAAAAAATAGTGTCTGAACATCTGCACGTACGTCCGAACGGCCAACCGCCGAACGCCAAGTTGCTCATCGATAAGGTGTATGGCGATGTGACGGCCGGTGGTCGAGCATCCGAACGTACGGTGTCCAGACACTATTTCCTCGTGATCTACCGGCAAGTGAAGTGGAACGACAGAACAATAGCATACCTTTGAACCTTTGATATTTCTGTTATAAGTCAATTGTTCTTCATTCAGCAGTAGTTAGTGTCTCTGTTTAATAAATGAAATAAATGTATTTTTTTCTAATTACTTCCATTAGTATCAATACATAATCTTTTCTTTTTCATTTGAGAATAGAAAACAAGGTGCATTGTATTCCATACACAGCATGCAATATTAATGTTAGGGATGATTTCATTTATTATATTTACCACAATAAATCAATGGATTTTATAATCTAATCTAATTCAGTTTTTATTTTTTATTTTTTTCATTGTTTTTTTTTTTTTTTTTTTTCTAACTTTCGATATGGAAAAGAAATTAAGTTCAGAATAGAAATTAAAAAATTAAATAAAAAATAAAAAATAATATCAACTTACATGAAGGGTCTGAATTTCAGCTTTCAAATGCTGCAACTGCTTCGCCGTGGCTGCCAACTCTTCTCCAGTTGCCAGCAAGGAATCAACCCTCTGCTGAGCAGAATCCTGATAGGGTTTGCTGATGAACTCAACATAGGCATGTAATCTCTCAGAGGCATGCAGAAGTTCTGTCTGCATCGCTTCTGCCGCTCTGATGGCCAACTTATCTGCCACTTTTCTCACCTTCTGTATTGCTTCTCTCCGCCGCGCAGGAAAATTTGATATTGCCAGAAATCTGTATCAATCAGTGTGTTTATTACTAAGAAATTACTCATATTGAAATAAGCCCTTTTTCCACTGTTATATATATATATATATAAGGATTTACATAAATACGTAAATTTCAATTTTTATATACATACCAACTTTATCGATGCCTATGCATGAAAAGGAAATGATATTTTTGATGTGATATGAAAGGTTTGAGTGGTATAAATGTAAAACTTAAAATTAAGGTGTTACATATGTGAATAGATAAGAAGTTGATGGTATATAAAGGGCATTCACTTAAATCCTTGGAAATTACTAAAAAAGAGAAAAAATTAAACAAGAAGATTAAATTAGAAAAAATGATAAGAATTTTATATGCAGATTCATTCAGTTGAAGACTGTCTTGTTGCTGGAATGCAGACTTCACTGTAGTTTTGTTGGGGACATTTACAGCTAATATTTTTAGGCAAAATGTAACAATGAAGCTTATATTACTTTATGAGTATCTCGTGTTGAGATTTGTATCTTATTTTGAGGTAATAAAAAATATAGAAGATGTCTAGGACTTATTCATAAAATTTGTAAGGCTCAATAAGGAATGATGAACTTATTTACCAAAATAATCATTCCTATTTCTGCATGGTACTAGAGCCAAAATTGCTGCTGCTTGATCGGCGATCGCATGCTAGCTGAGGAAGATAGGGAAGGGATCGACAAAACGATGGAAGCTTTTGGGAACTGCGGAGGAGAAAGTAAGCTAGGGCTTCGAATCATGGAAAAGCTATGGCGGGCATAAGATATCAACAGATCATTACTAACCATATGGTGTTCTTTCGTCAAAATGGTGGTCACATTACGAGCTCATTGTGTATGTTGATGACATGATTATTACTGGTATTGATGAGATAGAAATTGCTAAACTAAAGGTTAGATTGGGCAAAGATTTTGAGGCGAAGAATCTTTACACAGCTCAGATACTTCCTTAGAATTGAGGTCAAAAAAGGTGGTCACATACATGCTTGTTGTGTATGTTCATGACATGATTATTACAACGCTCCATCTGGGTTGCTCGTGTTGGCTTTCTTCATCTAGTTCTTGTCTTCCACCATTGGGCTAGCTCCATCTCCATCATTCACTTCAATCCCCGCGGTCTTAGTAGTCGGAGTGCTACCCGTATGTCAGGCTTTAAGCCCGTCTTGAAATTCCCCTCTTGTCCCGCTTTAGAAATCCCCACAATCGTCCGGACAATAATTCAAATATCTCTCTATATTTCATGACCATCCCCTCCTGAGTCAAGACATAGAATTGTTTGTCTAGGCCACGAAAAAGATCCAATAACGAATCATTAAATTCATCCCACGAACAAATCGGGTTTCTAGCCTCCCTCCATTGAAACCAGGCTAAGGTTTCCCCCTCCAAACACAATCTTCCTGCCATGAGTTTCTCCTCCCCATCTAACTCATTCACCGAGAAGTACTGCTTTGTCTAATATACCCACCCATGTGCATCTTCCCCCTCAAAAATTGACATCTTCAACTTCTTAAATCTTAAAATTTCCACCCCAACTTCATTGTCCATCATTGTTTCCCCCTTAGGTATCAAGGGTAAAAATTCTTCCTTTGATCGTAGTCATATGCCCTCCCTGTTTCTCTCTGTTCTTTTTCGTGCTCCACCATACCTCTGCATAATCTCATCTCCATGTTTCGGCCCACCCACCTCCTTCATAAATCTCTAATCCACCCCTAATCAGAGCCCTGAGATGTGGGTTCATGAAGGTGGATATTTTGCTCATGTTTCTCATGTTTGATATCTTTTCTCTTCGATCTTGCCACGGATTCTTCAATCAACCTTTGATTAAGATTTACAAATTGAAACGTCGGCAGGATCTTGAATTGCATCTCAATAAGCTTCTTTATTATCTCTCAAATTTCCTTATTGCTCTCAAATCGGTCCTCCATTCGATTTTCCATGAAAGAAAACATATCCACTATGATAGAAAACATTTCTTCCGCCACCAATCTGATTTGGTTAATCTCTTCATCTACATCATCTATTTTCTTAGTTATCATTATCACTAAGATTTTACAGCGGCTTTCGATAAAATATTTCTAGGAAACCCCTCTCTTTTCTATTGATTTTAACCAAAAATAATCACAATTAGGGTACGCCTGATTCTGTCGCAGCCTTCCCCGCTAGTTTTGATTGAGATTGTAGTGCAGATTGACTTAACGTAGGTCTGGTTACGACTGTGCGTGTTGACGAACGCTTTGAACCAGTCGTTGCATTCTACAATAAGCTGCAAGCCCGTCATTGCCTTCTCCTGTAAGCAACAAGCCCATCGTCGTCTTCCCTGCAAGCAATGATCGCAACTATATTGCTTGGTTTCTATTCTCTGTATATCGATCCCTACTGCAGTGTCCTAGACCTGTCGCCTTGCACGCAAACCTTCGGCAATTCTTCGTGTCCCCTTGTATGCGACTATACGCGAGTTTTGGATCTCAGAAAACCGGATTCTTCCCAGTTATCTCCAATCGCAACTGTTTGGCAAGGTGAAGTCACGTAACCCTGCGATGTCGTCGTTGCCTTCCCCACAAGCTTAAATCGTGACTGTATGAGAATCTCGAGCACTCTTTTCCAGAAATCTTGCTCTGTTCCCAGAAATCTTGCTCTGATACCAATGTGATATGATTTGCGATCGAAATCGATACAGATTTTCACCAAAATTAGGGCGAACGCATAATGTTTTGTAATAATCCAAACAGCTCAAGAAGAATACAAACATAAACACCTACAATTCGAGTGATAGGCAGTCTCTCCCAATTCCAAGAATTCAAGAGGTAGGAAATTTCTCCCACACCCTAGGCCTAAAGACTCACAGCTCAATCAACTGCATAAATAACAAGCACATTTATACCTAATAATAATAATAATAGACTAAATTGACTTTAGGAGCACAAAAGACAAATTTGTCCTTAGATTAGGCGCCCTCATAACACTCAAGATGATTTCCAATCATGAAAGCGACCGCTAACTCACAAAGAATTGTTGTACACCGCAATCCCGATGACGAGGTTCAGTAACAAGCGGTAACGACATGAAATTCCCAAAAGATCGGAGTTTTAGGTCTCACGGAATTACCAAAACATCGAAGTTTTAGGTTTCCATAAGCCGAGATCCGGTCACGCAGGCGATGGTCATGGACTTGCGAGGTCCAGTCACACAAGAGATATATCACAATGGCGGGTTTCCAATCACGCTGAAGATCATTGTACTCCACATTTCCCAGATAGCTTGAACCACGACCGTATCGCAAAGCTTCGATCAGACGTTGCCCCAATACCTACTATCATCGCATTCCCAGCCAATTGTAAGCACAATTTTATAGCAGAAATCGATCACGAAGACGACAGGCAGCTAGCTCCAATCGCGAATGTATCGCTATCTTTGGCCATGCAAGAGCACCAAGATCCCGCAATCACAATTATAGCACGTCGTTCCCTTCCACAAGCCCGTCACTTGCTTCCCAACTAGCTCATGATCGACTGTATCACGAGGTATGGTCACGAAGGCCACAAAACTCCTCTATGCAGCAATCCAGTTATTGATTTTCCATAAATCAAAATCTCTGATGCCAAGTTCAAACGATCCAATGTAGAAATCGGCAAATATTCATAGAAAATAGGCCAAACAAATATTTTATTTTTAATAATCCAACAACTCAACACGAATACAACAATAAACACCTACAATTTGAAAGGTAAGCGATCTCTCCCAATGCCTACAATTTGAGACTCATACATACCCCCATCTTAAGCCAATTAGGGTTTATTTATAACAAACAATAATAAATGCAATTGACCTTAGACGCATAAAAGATAAAATTGCCCTTCCTTATCAATTTAAAATATATATATATATTAGAGAAGCCGAAAAATATAATGAAACTAACAAAAATACCTTTAACGAAATAACCCCAATCAAAAGAAAAATAAAACGTAAAAAGAAATTTCAGATTTCTTTGAAGAAAAAGAGACACTTAGAAATCAGAAAATCGAGGGTTAAAACCGATGCATACCCGCCAGCAGAACAAAACGCCAGAGCAACGAGATCTTCCAGCGTCGTTGGTAGCACGGACGTTAGAAGAGATGCAGATAGACCTGCTGCCCCTAGCCCTCCAAAAGTTCCATAAACCTGGTAACACACATAATTGATTATAATACTTAAAAAAATGCATAACCTCTATGAATTCATCACATTCATTAAAAAAAAAACATTTATTTAGGTCAGTTAATTGCCTGTGGAAGCCAAACAGCTATTCTGTAAGTCAATGTTTTCACTGATTTAACAAAATCTCTTTTTCTCCTTCCAAGGCAATATTGGGACAAAAGGCTTTGAAGGAAAAAAAAATATTTCACTATAAAAAATAATGAATTTCCACACTAACGGCCTGTCTGATATCAGTATTATTATTATTTTTTTTTTAATTTTTTATATATTTATTTAGTTTATTTTCTGCATGTATTATTCTTATAATTGTAAAAACAGATAAATTTATTTATAAAAACACTTAGGCATTTTTATGTGTTTTTAAAAGTAATTATCACCACTAAACATGCTTTATTTCAAATCAAAAAAATATATAAAAAAAAACAAAAACAAAATTCCCTTCCCTAAATGGCTAAGCATTTATAAACATTCATTCAATAGAATTTTCAAATCACAAATATAGACTCTTTAATAAAAAAGAGTGAGTGCGTATATTATAAAAATTTGACCAAATAAATTTGAAATAACAATTATAGAAACTGGAAATAGAACACAAAAGAGAGAGAAAACTCACAACTTCACGAATTTCTTGTTCACAAAGTCTCGAAGCAGCACTGGCACTGAAGTCCTCCATCACCTTTGTGCTGAGCTTTTCTCCATGTTCTGTAAGTCCCACTGTGTTCGCTTGCATGACATCCCTAAGGCCGAGGCCTTTATTGCACTGTTTTTGAAGGCGTTCCAAGCAAAGCTCTCCCTCACTAACGAACTCACATTGCAACCATTCTGAATACTCTCCAAGTAATCTCTGCTTAAATAATGAATACATAAAAATACATAAAACAGCAACAGTAAATCATCTACAAATGCCAAGCATATACATATTATTTGTTATAAGAAGAATGACTGATAATAAAAAAGATGGTTTGCATGCATACCACTCAATTCCTAGGTATTTACATATCTAAAACCTAAACTTTAATTTTTACATAAAGACCACCTTACTTATGCATGAAAATGTTTATTTCACTCTGTAAAAGTTAAAATGGTGGTATTTTTGTGTGATATGAAAGATTTGGATAATATTAATGTAGAAAAGCAAATTTTAGGTGCCAAAAGAAGAAATAGAAGCAGCAGGAGCAGCCAAAAGCCAAGATAGATACACTATACCTGCACACCAGAGAGAGCAGGGATGATGATTTCATTCTGTAAGGTTGAAGTGGAAGCTATAGGTCTCGATTTTTCTCCTTTGAAAGCATATGTTGTGATGAGATCAATATTAGAAAGCTGAAGAGTCGACTCCATGAGCTCTACAGCTTGAGATTCCGCTGCTTCAATCTGAAAAACAAAGAATTTTAGTTTTTTTTTTTTTTTCTTCTTTTTTTTTTCCTTGGAAGATTTACATACATACCACATCATTCCAACGCCTCTACATATCTAACGCCACATGAAATGAAGGTTTTCCTCCAAAAGCTGAACCGGCTTGACCCGAAGTGGTTCAGTTGAGAGAGGGGGCTGAACCGGTCCCCACCCCCCCAACTTTACATTAGGCGGAAAGTTACCTCATATATTTTAGGGTTTAGCTTATGTTATTTTATGATTTCAGTTTGTGAGAACAATCACTGGCATCCTGCTTTCCCCTCAAGGGTTGTATCTGATAGTTATGATGGTGTTTCGGTTGTATCCCTCTCCCAAGATGGTGATTATCTACTCTTCATCCCCTTACGGTAAGGAAGGTTGCAACTTGCTTCCCAGCTATTTCCTCCCAGCCATCATTCCTATAACAGGCCAACAACCTTCCCGTAACCCTTCCCCATCCCTGTGTTCGGACCATCAGGCCAAACTCTTCCCTGTTACAGGCCACTTGTCCACCCCCTCCTCCCTGACAGTCAGCCCACCTGTTTCCTACAACCAGCCCACCCACCCGCTACTTTGCTACTGCCCAACCAGCCTTCCCTCCAACGCAACATCCCCTATAGCCACCAAAACAACCCCCACAACCCCTGCACCTAATTTCAAGGTGTTGTTGAAACCACTAACAACTCCCGCGCCCTCCCAACCACCTCATAATTGACCAATACCTATTGTCTCGCCGCTAAGCACCACCTTCGACTCTGTCCTAGGTTGTCCTTTCGGTTTATGTTGCTATTTTCCTAAGTGTCAAGTGTCCTTGTTTGTAACCTTACTAAATTCCGACAATAATATTTCAATTTTGTTTGTGGTTTGGGTTTTCTCGCGTATCATTTGGTATCAAAGCTAGCCCACCCTAATCCCATGCTAGGGTTTCCTAGCATCCGCCCCTGCCCAAGCCACCTTCACAAAAATTTTCTTTCATATTCTCAACCATAGCCAAAACCGTGATCTAAACCTCAATTCCTCTTGTTGATTTTCAAAAAGAGCAATCTTGAATTAAATTTTTAGCCCTCTCACCTCCCAACTCTAAACCCTAGCCAAGCCACCATTGAGATACATGCCCGAGTCTTCCCGGGAGGAGATACGGCGAGAGATCCGCCAACTTCGGCGGTGGATTGCAGACATGGAAAATAAAATCCAATAGAAGGCTACCCTCAGCCGTGATCCAAAAGGTCGAAGAGGGGAACAATAAGATATGAAGATGAAGCGAGAAACATAACTTCAGTTCCTAACAACTTATTATCGTCAAAAGTTGCACTCTAGCTTCCGAAGTAGAGAGACCGCATCACCAAGAGACCCATGTCTACCATCCAGCGAAAACAATTCATAAGTCTGTCACAACAAGAAAATGTTGCAAGTGTCACGGATTTGGACATGTTGAAGCATAATGCACAATCAGGGGAATGATCTACTTCACCGAGCATGGTGTAATTAAAAAGTTGGAAAAAGACATCGCAAGCACTGAAGACGGTGGGGACATAAACAAGGAGAACCCGCTTCTAGTTGAGGAGGACAAGATACACTTAGGCCCAGTTGAGCTCACGGAAGAGACTCCAACCGACTTCATTGTAAGTGGTTAATGCAGTTACGAGTCTAAGGAGTCGATATCAGACATAGGTCCCCCGCAACTAAAAGCAAGACAGATATTTCACATCTATGGATCCCCTCCTAAGTTGTCCCTACGGCGAGAGACCCAGCATATCCAAAGAGGAGTCATTACATCACATGTGGACTATTAGAGTGAGTAGTTCAGATGTTAGAGTTAGCTCAACGGGGCACCCATCAGCTAATTTCCGAACGAGCGGAAAATGAAAATGTTGAACCTCAACTCTGAAATGTGCCCTAAGAGCCTAAGGGAAATGAAAATTCTTTAATGGGATCCAAGTCATGTCACTGAAGAATGTCTCTCCTACGTGGTCGCTAGTGAAAGTAGCACAACCTGCCACAGATTTCATCCAAGAATTAAGTCTTCTCACATTCTTGTTACTCAAACACCGCACACTAAGCACGAGAAGTGGAAGGAGAAGATTTCAAATGTAAAGGCTAGAGAGTTGCATTGCCGGAATCTACCTCTTTATGCAACGCCCGCTCAGGATGTGCCAAAAGATGATGGCTACCTATTCCACCAGAATGTGTTATGAAATGATATTACCACCATGATCAAGCTAGCAGGGGACTTAACGTTACCATGAGGATCCAAGAGATTCGATGAATGCCCCAACCCTGAGAGAATGACAAGGGAGTTTTCCTCCAAAAGTTGAACCAGCTTGACCCGTACCGGTTCAGTTGAGAGAAGGGGTTGAACTAGCCCCCAACCCCCTCCCCCTCCCCTATTTTCATTTCCCGCCCATTCATCTTCTATATGTGTTTTTATGTCTTAGGGTTTAGCTTATGTTATTTTCTTATTTAAGTTTGTGAAGAGAGCCGCCGTCATCCTGTTTTCCCCTCAAGGGTTGTAACTGACGATTAGGGTGGTGCTCTGGCTATATCCCTCCCCCAAGGTGGTGATTATCTACTCCCCATCCCTTTACAGCATTGCTCCAACTACCAGTATCCCTCTGCTAGCAATTGGAAGGGTTCAACTTGCTTCACAGCTATTTCCTCCCAGTCATCATTGCTATAACAGGCCAACAACCTTTCGTAACCCTTAGGGATGCAAACGAGTCGAGCTTGAGAGAGTTTAGGCTTGGCTCGTGTTCGGCTCGTTCGAAATTGCTCGAGTTCAAAATCGGCACGTGTTCAAAATTAGCTCGTGAACAGTGTTTCGTGTTCAGCTCGATTTAAATATTATTGTTCGTGTTCAACCTGTGTTCGACTCGAAATCGACTTCATTAAAGTTAATTGGAAAAAAAAAAGATGTTGAGTATTATATTTGAACTTGGATCAAATCTATGCAAAAGAATGCACAAAACCATACCATCACACGAGTGGTTATGATTTAGACTCATATATAAATACATATAATATATTATTATATAAATAATTATATGATTTTTTTTATTTCAAACTAAAACGAGTAGAGCACAAGCGAACAAAGAGTTTTTTATGTTTGGCATATGATGTTGTCCAGCTCTCCATACTTCTTCCTAGCACCTAGCTGCCCTCTCCCACCAGCATCGCCTTGTTGTACAGTTTCCCAGACTTCATGCCCGCGCCAACTGCCACTTTCCCTATAGCAAATTCTGGTGTCCAACTACTCCACGTTCGCCCCAACCCACCTACTGGCCTCCCAAATCACCCCTTTGATCCCCCTTCACAACCTGTAGCTTTGACCTGCTCCCTTTCCGCTTCACCGACACCACCACTGTCACGGATCTTCTCTTTTGGTCCGAGCCAAAGATTAGTATATTATTGTATTTCTCTTTTCCATTTGTGTCGTGTTATAGCCCTATTTCAATATTAGTAAAAGTTGCTTTTATTTTTGCTAATTTTCTAACTAATTCCGGTAAATGTAAAAAAACCAAAGTTTAGGTGTTAGATATATAAATACATGTGAATTGTGTAGCATTTATGCAAATCCACCGCCATTTTTTATAAAAGTTAACCACAACTACTTCAAAATTTGTATCTACAAGCAATCATGCAACTTAAAACCAAATGAATTCCTGTATTATCCATTGACATACCATAGAAACTACTTTTTTCTTCCATAATAAGCTCTCATTTTCCATCTTCATGGCATAATCTTTAGTGCTACCAACAACTTCTTTGATAGAGATCAGATCGTGAGATGCTTCGTCCTGTTGCTGCAGAAGCAGCCTTTCAGAAGAATCCAATAGGCGCTCCGCAATAGCGACTGGTGTCTCAAGCTTAAGCTTCATTCGTTCCATACCAGTGTCAGTTGAACCATCCAGGAAGCTATATAAGAAATTCTCAAGCTCACCAAATTTACTCGAAATCCAGCGAGGATCATTATACAAGAGCTCCTCATAGTTTCGAGCATTAAAAGATAAAGCAGAAAGCTTCGCTTCAAGTGCAGACCGTGCAGATACAGGATATAGCCGCAAATCTCCAATGCCAAGAAGTTTCTGTGTGTTCTCTTTGATGAATACTGTAGCTTCCTCAAGCTAGGTAGATATGTAAATGTGAAATTAAAAAATGCATCACAAATTAAGCATTTACATTCACAGCACACAATTCTCATGTATTTACATATCTCACATCTAAGCTTTTATATTTACACACAGCGTTCAAGCATAGCACCGTTACCACTTTTAAAAGTGAAATCCACCTTTTTATGTATGGGTTTAAAGCATCAAAGTGCTATGTATGTAAATAGTGAAATTTAGGTGTCAGATACATAAATATGAAAGAATTGTGTGCTACGTATGTAAATTTACCCACAAAATAGTGTGAATCAGTGAACTTAAAGAAAATTTTGTAGGGTTCAGAAAATAAACCTCACTGGAGTTCTGATAAAGATCCATTTTGTTTAGAACAAAAACAACTTTTTTCTTCCACTGCTGTACATATTGAAGAAAGGATACCTAATAATTCCAAAGATTTACCCAGTTAAATTTGAATGTCATCAGAATTTTTACAAGTGCTAACACATTAAATTTTAAAACTGAATTAACGCCACTAAGAATTTCTTAGAATAGATTGTCCTTCTCTAAAAGTATCTTGTAAATGAGAAGAGTTTGTTGTAAAAGTCCGCAAGAGTAAGAAGTTACAACAAAATGAAGTGAAGAAAAAAAATTAAACATACAACCACATTTTTGTCTGTATGTTTGATGGAATATTTGCCTACGTGCAGCCGTTCAAGTATGTCAATATTATCAAATCAGACAAATGAAAGTGTTGCGAATGTGATATTTTAATTATTCTTTTTTATTTTTTATTTTTTTGTCTTCATTTGATTTAACTTATACCACACTTTATTTGATGAATGTCAAGGTTACATGTAGCTCAATTGAACCGCATCAATCAGGAACATTTGAAGGTTTTTATAGTATATTTTTTTCTCTAAGAAAAAATTATATAAAAGACAGATGTGGTTAAAACCTTCTTAACATGAATTTGATTATAAGAGGATCAAATCACTAACTTGTGTTATAAATATATATATAATAAATATGATTATTTTCACTTATGAGAAGAGCCACTTGGAACATTTTGTTAGTTCATGTCAATGAAGGGACTAGTCAATACATGTATTAGGTTATAAATCAAAAATTAACAAGCATTACCTCACTTCCAGTCAATGGTCGATCCGATGAAATAACAAAAAGAACTAAATCAGCACGAGGAACAAATTCTTCGGTGAGACGTTGCTGCCTCTGAAGAATCACATTTGTACCAGGTGTATCAACTAGGTTCATCTGTTTCCATAAACAAACTCATTTTTTTCCACCTTTTTTTTTTCTCCAAGCAAAAAGCATAAATGAGGTTGTATCATGCGCAAATAAAAAGCGACTAGAAATCGAAAAACAAATCAAACTTAGACAAATATCATTACTTGAGATACCAAACTCACGCTTTTGAGAAGAATAGATCCTTAATTCACGAATGATTGCTCTTCTAAATTCTTCAATAGAAGAAAGCGGTCAAAATAATATTTTTTGACATTTCAGATTCAGTGGACATTGCTTTAAAGTTTGCACAATACCAAGTGAGAAATTAAAAAGGTATCCTTATGTAAAACTCGGAATGTTAACAAGGTGCAGTAAAACTCAAAACGTGAGAAGAGGTCAGAATTCCAGATGTTTTTATCTTGCTTTCATTGTTTCAGCATCCAGATTGGCAAGCCAAAATATATGATGCTCTAGTGAAGCAACGTAGCTTAGATAGCATTGGTGATGACGGTGAATTCAAAATGTTTAATCTTGGAAACTTCACTTGAGCCCACCAAAAATTAGTTGTTACAAAAACATCAAAACAACCAGGTAAATGGGCGGAACCAACAATTATTTTTAGGAGGGGAAAACTTATTATATAAGAAAAATTAATTTTATCAAAAATAAAAAATGTATATATATATGTGTGTGTGCGTGTGTGTGTGTGTGAAACTCATACTATAATAAAAATTTATTTAAAAAATAAATAAAAATATACAGAAAAATTATTAAATAAATCTACATCTTCAAAATAACTATAATGTTATATCATATTTTTTATTTTCTATGTTGCTTCATTTAGATATCGCAATTTTTTTTTAAATACAAAAATATACTAGGAGTATGCAAACTAATTATTCTTTTTGAAAAAACAATAATACCATGACAACAATAAAATGAAGGTATTTTTGACTGAGGAAGATTTACATACATACCACTCAATTCTTATGTATTTACATATTTAACACCTAAACTTCAATTTTTACATACGCACCATCTTACTTATGCATGAAAATGTATACTTCACTTTTAAAAGCTAAAATGATATATTTTGATGTGATATGATGATTTGGATAGAATAAATGTAATGATCAAACTTTAGGTGTTAGATATGCAAATACATGAGAATTGAGTGGTATGTATGGAACTGCACCTAAAATTTAACGTGAGAGTGATCCGCAGCCTGCACACATTGGACTTTTTAAATAACTATTTAGTCCCGCATCTCAAAGCTACTCAAATGTTATTGCTATTTAAATTCAAAGTAGCAACAGCCACGGTTGACCCTCCTAAGCAATTTATGAGCACTTGGTTTTCATAGAAATAGTTCTTTTATATGAACAAATAATTTATAAAATAAAAATTTTATTCTGTAACTTTATTTGTACTATTTGGATTTATTAAGGTTTAAAAAATTAGCATTTATATAATTTACCCAGCTAGATTAATATAATGTTTGGCTTGGTTCATTTGCAACCCTCGCGAGAGGAAATGGAGGCAATAATAAATTCAGAGGGGGCAAAATCAAATTAGCACATTGTTATTAATAAAATTTCAGAATTCAAGGAGGACAAATTACCTAATTGTTATTAATAAAATTTCAGAATTCAAGGGGGCCCAATTGGCCCCTCTGAACATTACGTAGGTCCGCCCTTGCAGGCAGATAATCCTTCAATGGATCAAATAGCTGAAGGAAAGAAAGGATAAAGAATATTATGAATATAGTATGCATAACTGATATAAGTTGCACTCTTAGGGGCTGTTTGGGGTCACTTTTTTTGTTATTATTTTTTTTATTTTGTTTATATTTTTATTTGAAACAAAACATGCTTATAAAATGAAAAAACTGAAAATTAATTTGCATGCCTAGAGAGAGAGGAGTTGAGCATAAGCATTAAAATGTTGAAATGGACGTACATTCTTGAGAATTGGAGAAGAAACATAGCATATGAATTGGCCATCAGGGTTTCTTTCACATCGCTCCTCTTTGTTGGAGTCCGTCTTAGAGTAGCATAACAGAGTTATCTCATTTGTTGTGGGAACTACTCCTTCCTTCAGGTACCTTCTTCCAAGGAGAGCATTTATAACAGTTGATTTTCCAGAATTAAACTCACCCTAATATAAATGATTCAGCAAAAAACATGAGAAAAAAAAACATATAAATTATAGAATTCTGATGGTATTTGATGGAATCTTGTATGAATGTAATAGCCTACAGCACAACCACTGAAATTAATGGTTCATCTCTGTGAAGTTTAAGATCCAACTAATTCATAGCAATTTAAGTTTTAAAACGAATGAAAACAAACATTGAGAGAAAAATCAATGGAGATGATCACAAGGATCAATCTTATGTTGTGTGGTTTGTCTTAATACAAATTCTGCCAATACAAAATTCGGAGGGAGAAGACATCTAGCAAATGCACTTTCGACAAGATAGATCCATCAAATTGTAAGAGGTTTGGCACTCTGCCACAGATGCCAAGTAATTGAATATTTATGTGGTTATGCGCATGTTCAAACTTTCAAAGCTTTAGAAGCTTAGGAGCCTAGTTTGGAGATTAATCATAAAGTAACTCCAAAATATGTTGCCAAACCATTGATCATGAGAAAGAAAATTCTTAGAATGGCACAATAATGTTGCCCTCCAAGATAAGCATTAAATATAAAACCAATGGCTTTAGGGAAAAATTAAAATTTATTTGAATATGCTTTAGAATGAACAAAAATTTGTGTGATTATATTCTAGGCTAAGAAGAGGTTGGAAATTTTGCTACAAAATTATATTATCATGGATTAGCTCCGCACCCAATTTGCTCGGTTTTGATTTAAAAATTTTCAATTTGTTAGACTACTAAAAATAAAAAAAAAATAGTAAAAAAGAGTTGTTATGTGCTTGATAGTTTTAGCCAATGGCAATAAGAAATATAAAGAGAGAGAAAACTCTTTTAGAACCTTCTTTGGGGAGGATCCAATATGAAACCTTCTTGTGTGATATTTGTATTTTTATAAACAATTGCAACTAAAAAATATAAAGAGAGAGAGAACTCTTGTAGAACCTTCTTTGGGGAGCATCCAATATGAGGCCTTCTGGTGTAATATTTGTATTTTTTATGAATTAGAAAATTTTCCTAATCAATCAATATGAAAGCTTTGAGGCATCTTTGTGTAATGAGTTCGGATGTAAATTGGTTTGGAGAAAAGCATTTTTATGAATTGTTTGCTTGAACATATGTGTGGTTTCTCAATACTGAATCAGTTACTCTTCCCCTTCTCGTGAATGTAGGCATATACTTTTGGCCAAACAATGTTAAGTCTTATGTTGTTGCATTCATGATCTATTTATTATTATTTTAAATACACATAAAAATAATAATAATAATTCGTAAAAGATTCATACTCTTCAATTAACCAGAATGGAGGTATAAATGATCTTAACAATCATGCCTAAACCTAAGATTATAGGTTCTAACTCAAACTACTCAAATATCACTAAACAAAAGTTGATTGTTTTCATAGCTCTTTCAAGAAACCACTACCTCACGCTTAAGATTCTTCAAATGCATGTGGCTTAAACAAAAATTCAGGAGCAACTCTAGAAAAGCCATTATTTTCCTAAATTCGATCGGACATTCCATCACCATCTCTAGTAAATATCCAGCACAAGGTCCAATGTCCTCAACTAAAACTATTATTTACTGTCATCCTCTATTAATAATCTATCAGATTTTACACGTCCAATTCAGCACTATGGCATCAATTAATAGTGCATCATCGACTAGTAAAACTCAAATTTCTCATTCAATATAAATTTATAAAAATGCCAAAAATGTGGAAATAGATTTGGAGAAAAAAGACGATTTGCTATGAAAGAGGAAAAACAATTGTATTAGAAGAAAGCAATAAAAACAATCTTCAAATTCCTACTCCGTGCAAATCATATTGTTTTACAAGGTTCATGATACAAATAGTACAAATCAGGGTAGAATATTTCAAAGCTACTAAAGATAAAAACAATATACTAGATCAGAGTTCTCACTTAGCAATTTGTAGAGATTTTTTAGCAATACTTCCAACAGTTCCACTGAAGCACTAAAACGAAGTAATAATCATAAATGATTCTTACAAGCAACATTTTTATGCAAAAAAAGAACATGATTTAGGGGCATTTTTGTATCATAAATACTTGAATTCTTGAACTTCATGCAATCAAAAATGATCGACACTAGAAAACGAAGCTTGTTTTTTTTTTTCATTACCACAATAACCATTAAAAAGGGCTCCTTAAGGCGAGAAGCAGCATCGACAAGCAGTGCAACTTCACTCATCTGGCATAAAATATAAGGATTAATGTTACTCGTGTCAAACATTACCAAAAATGCAACAAAATTGTTTGTAGGGCAACTTCAACTACCAAATGTTAACATAGAAGTTCACCATTGGCGCAGCCTTGTGTATAACTGCAATAGCTTCCTTTAACAAAAGACTTTCCATCTCTAGAAGCTTTATCTCTTTGTCATCAAGCTTCATAAATCCAGCAATCCCCTTCACCATATTAAACATGCTTGTAAAACCATCTACTTTCATTTTACTGGAATCTGCAAAGCCATCTTGTAATACTCTTATTGACCCATGTTTGGCTAAGAAAATCTTCTCCAAGTAACCATTACTAAATAGCTTCAGAGAGTCTGTGGATATAACTACTCCAGATGCTCCGAGTTGTAGTAATTTGGACAGCACATCAGCAGCTAAACTGTCTCCAGAAGATTCCATATTTAAAAAGATGGGCACCTTGACGTAATGGGTAAATGATTCTTCAATCACCCTTTTCCAGTTCCCACTTCCATTACAGATTATAATAAAGTCAGCACCATCAGAACTTGCTGCATGCTCTGCAGAGATTGCATTATGTACCTCTCTTGCCACAATGGGGAGAAAAACGGCATCAGATTTTGATTTGGACAACATATTCCTTGCCACTATGGCAGGAATTCCTGCATTGCAAATAGTTTCCATAAGGCAATTATAGAAAGGGAAGACAAGTTCGATTCCTACTCAGAACAGGAAAATGAAAAAGGCCAAAGGGATAAAAATGATAACCAATCCATGAACTAGTTAAAATATCTAGAATAATTGAGGAAATTGGTAAAATTAATGGTCCAAAAAAAAAAAAAAACAGCCATGAGTTGAATCAGTCTGCTCTTATTCATAAACTTCACTATTTTAAAACTTCATGAATTTAAACCCTACATCCTGAAACCATTTCTCGGTAAAAAATAAAACAAATCTAAAACGACAGCAGGCCATGAACTAACCCTGATCAGAGAGAACAACTCCACCGGCCCCAACAGCGGCAGCAACATCCACACGCTCCGAAATCAGAAGGTAAGCTCTGTCGCCCAAAGCAGACTTCAACAAACAGGCTGCCTCATATAACCGGCCGCCGCTCTGCTCCCCAACGTCGAGCACGACGATCCCCACCCCCATCGATATTGCTTCGCCCAGCGCGGCGCCCGCATCGTCCCAGCGAAGCACCTCATCCGCGCCTAATCGAAGCACCAAACTCGGAATCTTTATCTCCGGGCGCTTGAATCCGCCGGGAAATAACGTCCTCGGAGGCTGCGGCTTCCCGTCGAGCGGATCGGTGCCGGAAGAGTTAGTTCCGACGGCGGTTATAGGACCAGAAGCCGATCGGCATTTGTGAAATCGAGCATGGCGTGAGAGGTTGGGGAAGTGAGTTTCAGATAGATCGGAGAACCGCGGTAGGCGAGCTGCCACAGAATAGCTGCAAGGAATGGAAACCATAGGAATGCGGGCTAGGGTTTTTTGCGGGACTGAGAAGAAGAACGCCTGTGGAGCAGTGGAGGAGGAGGAGGAGAAATGTAGAGAGAGTGAGGGTTTTACCCGCTTCTAGATGAGCCTATCCTCTTGCAGAGAGGCGGGTCAATTTTTGGATGGTGGAGAATTTAAAGATTTTCGGGAAAGCGTTAATTTTAGATATAGGGCTGTTGAAACAGCTCAGTGTTTAGTTGGGTGTTCTGCTCGTTAAAAAATTCGTGTTCGATTTATTCGTTAAGTTAATGAGTCTAATACGAATAACACCAACAAAATTTTATTTATTTGTGTTCTGCTCATTTTGACTAAAAACATTACTAATTAATTAATTATATATATATATATATATATATATTACAAAGATTTATAATAAATTAAAAGTATTAATTAAGAAAAATAAAATAAAATTTATTAAATTAGATTCAAATGATGTTTTAACATAAATAATAATTTTAAAATCTTGCCCCAATCTTTAACATCTTATGGCTACCTGATTAGGGTTGTCAAAACGATTCTTTGTTCGTGAACGGCTAGTGTTCGGCTCGCTAAGCAAAAGAGTTGAACACGAACACACTTTTTGAGCTCGAAATATAAACGAGCCGAACACGAGCTGAGTCTGGGCTCGCCCGTGTTCGGCACGTTTACACCCCTATTTACATAAATAACACAAAATCCTTGTAAATTTACATTTCCTACATTTAAATTTTCACCTTTGCAGGGCTATCATTCAATTCCTTAAAAGCTTTTCTCTTTATTAAAATTAACAAAATAATTTAAATAAAAATTATAAAATTCACATAAAAAACATAATGCTAGAATAATCAATTAACTAATTACCTAATAGATAATAAGGATGCTAATTTAAGATAATCAGTGGTTAACTAATTTCTGATACGTAACCCATTATTTTTTTATTTATGGGTGTAGACGAGCCGAACACGAGCGAGCCCAGGCTCGTTTATATTTCAAACTAAAAAAGTGTGTTCGTGTTAGGCTCGTTTGCTTAGCGAGCCGTTTACATAGCCATCAGATGTTAAGGATTGGTACAAGATTTAAAATATCATTTGAATCTAATTTAATAATTTTTATTCTATTTTATTCATTAATATTTTTAATTGATTATAATTTTTTGTAGTCTTGTAGTCAATTACATTAAAAAAAAAACTACTCATCAAATATATATATATATATATATATATGATTAGT